AAAAAAAAAAAAAAACACCCAAAGATGTAAGGGATATCTGCTATGTGCTTGGCCCTGGAGCAGATACCTCCAGTACACTTCAATGGCAAAACTATTTCTATTTAAGAAAAAAGGAGGGGGGGGCCCGGGTGCAGTGGCTCACACCTGTAATCCCAGCACTCTGGGAGGCCAAGGCGGGTGGATCACAAGGTCAGGAATTCAAGACCAGCCTGGCCAAGATAGTGAAACCCCATCTCTAATAAAAATATAAAATTAGCCAAGTGTGGTGGTGGGCACCTGTAGCCCCAGCTACTCAGGAGGTTGACGCAGGAGAACCACTCAAACCGGAGAGGTGGAGGTTGCAGTGAACCCAGACTGTGCCACTACTCCAGCCTGGGCAACAAAGCAAGATTGTGTCTCAAAAAAACAAAAACAAAAACAAAAACCCACTTAAAATTTTCTTTGAAAATTACCAACTGGTAGGCAAAAGTCACTGTAGTAAGAAGACTTATCCAAACTACTGCCTACCTTGCAGTCTGTATTTCAGCAGTAAATACATTGGCGCAGCCTCTATCACAAAATATGACTCTGCCTGCCAGCAGATTTCAGGGTTTGCCCTAACAAAGGTGACCTGCACATACGCCCTAAATGCATGAAAAAAAAAAAAAAGAAAAGAAAGAAAAAAGAAAAGTGACCTGCACTAATCTTGGATGCAGCATGAGTAAAACATCCTTTCCCCAAAGATTTTTAATCTTTATTTTTATACTTACCACTACCACTACACTAACAAGGACCCAAAGCTTTTTGGTTACTCAGCCAACACAAACTGGTCTCAGCAAAACAGGCCCCCAAGATCTATTTCTGAGTTCAACATATGCTAGGCTGCTTGAGTGACTAGGGTAAAATTAGGTCTTTGATAAGAAGCCAACAATTCTAAAATTCATACCAAAATGAAGGCTATCATCAGCATGCTACTATAAGCATGCATGTAGAGATGATATATTCAGTTACTGAGAGTCCTCATGAAAAAATAAAAAAGAGATGATATATTCAGAAGGGAAGCCAAAAAAGACCACAGGAAAAATCTTCCTGCATTTTAGGTAACAAAAGTCTTTAGTAAGTTTTGCATTATCAGCATGTTAGAAAACAGAAACTCAGTGAACATGAATTCGTTGGTATTGAATTACTTATTATTTTTAGAATCTTAAAATGCCAACTATTTGAAACCCAAACTCCTTTTTTTTTTTTTTTTTTTTTTACAATGACTAAGATAAAATGGCAGACGTTACAATCGGCTCCTGTTTTAGGGATCTTTGGGATCAGAAAGCTGTGTCTAGGAATTGTTTACCACTTATCACATTTATGCCATCTTCATGGTTTAGAAAGAAGATTGGATTAGGACGAGCTGGGGAATCCAATGCACTCACTTGAAAAATAACCAAGGCTGATATTCCAGTGGGTCAGCAGTATCAGTCTCGCGTATGAAGAGCAACACACACCATTACTACTGTGACTGTCTGCTCTTCAGTTTTTTTTGTTTGTTTGTTTTTGTTTTTGCTCTTCAGTTTTACACCGAGCACTTAACAAGAATACTCACCTGCAGCTTTTTTGTGACAAGAAATAGCCTCTTCGTATTTGCCTGCAGCTAATAAACGGTCTGCTCGTCTGCTCTGTTGATGAGCCTAGAAGACAAACATTCCTTAGTTCCTCTGGATCATAAAACATGATTTCTTTTCAAAAGCAACTATCTTTTAAGAAGATAAAAATACTGTTTGTTGCCACGTATCAAACCATTATTACAGCTCTATCTGTAGTTGGATAAATGTAATGGATAGAGCCTAGAACTGAAGCATCTGAAAGGAACTGGCAGCTTCTTTGAGTTCTACCAATAAGCCCTCTCAAGGTTAACACCAGGCACTTAACTCCTTCAGTGACTCACATTCTTCCACTCTTTGGAGATTAACCAAAAGTTACATAGATTGTTATTCAAAATGTCTACTTTCTTGATTTTTAACAAGCTCCTTTCAAAACAAGGGCTATTTTGTAGATACTTTCAGTAGTCCGTATAGTTTAAAAAACTATAATCAGGGCCGGGCGCGGTGGCTCACGCCTATAATCCCAGCA